GAACTCACTTGGTAGCCCAGGCTGGCCTCGAACTCACAGAGATCCGCCTGGCTCTGCCTCCCGAGTGCTGGGATTAAAGGCGTGCGCCACCACTGCTCGGCAACTACCGAATTCCTAAGGTTCACTACTTACTTTGTTTTTAATTAAAAGATATATGGCATTCTAATGGCTTGCAGGGTCTCATGTAGACGAAATTGGTTTCAAGTTTGCTATTTGCCCAAGGATGACTTGAACTTCTGATCCTCCTGCCTCTCCCTTCCCCCAAGTGCTGGGTTTACAGACAAGCTAGGGAAACACTATCAACTGAGCTACACCCACAGCTCCCTGATATATTTTCTTAAAACTTAAAACTCTAAAATTTTTTCAACTGGGATATATCAACCTTGGTAACAAGACCACAAGTTTTTTTCTATCAAACTAAATTTACAAAATTGTGGCTGGAGAGATGGCTTAGCAGTTAAGAGCCTTTTAAAATGCTGCTTTTCAGAGAACCTGGGTTCAGTTCCCAGCACCTACACAGCAGCTCATAACAATAATTCTAGTTCCAGAGAGTCTGACATCATCTGGCCTTTGTTGGCGTCATGTGGTGTCATAAATACACACACACACACACACACACACACACACACACACACACACACACACACAGGCACACAGGCACACAGGCACACATACACATAAAATAAAAATAAGCAAATCTTGACTTCTCATCATCAAAATAAAAAATTTACGAAATGTTCTAAGACTTCAATATCCAAATAATGGTACTAATAGTTTCCCTAAATGTTCCAAATTAAACTGGAGATAAACCTAGAACTTCAAATTTTAATTAATATTTCTCTCAGGTAAAAACAATTTTTTTGTTGCTTACCGCCTTCTCTTTCCGTTTCTGCTTAATCATGTTGGAAAGTACTTTTGCTCTAGACTGTCCCTCTCTGTCCAGCAGATAGGCAGGTACTGCTCCCTGTGGGGTCTTTTCATCATCCTTTTGTTTGGTGTTTCTCTTTTCATGCATCTTAATACTAACAGGAAGGAAAGAGATTTAGAATGTGTTTGGTAATTATTACCCAATGGGTGTTACCTGATCATGAGAGTCAGATGGGACCACTTACGTCTTTTTCATTTGTATTTTCTCGGCATGGCGCTGTTTGTGGTAGAGCTTAGCCTTCAGGCCAATCATTTTTTTTGCCTTCTTTGAACGTTCATGGGCCTCCCGACTTTCTTTCTTTCTCTTTTTCTCATGGTAATCCAAACGATATCCATAGCGTTTACGGTGTAATTCAATATATTCATTTTGTGGCTGTAATGATTTAAGAAAGGTTACTTTGACTCTAGCACTATTACCCACTCAAATGATGTAAATTATATATATTTTAACCTTGGACATCGTTCATGTGTTTACACTTGCATGAATCTCAGGAAAAGCTACTGTTCAATGAAGGGATTTATCCAAAATCTAAAAAAGATGAGGAAACTACAAGACTTCATTCTTTCTTCTATGGACAATAATGTAAATTATTTTCAGTTTTTTTTTTTTTTTTTAAAGAAAATTTGTCAGTTTTACCAAAACACAATTTACATAAAACAAAATTTGCCATTTTCAGTTGTCGGTGTGTAGGTAACCATTACAACCAAGATGGCATATTTATTTTCCATCACCCCAAAACGTCCTTTGGTGCTACTATGAAGTCTGTCTTCTTTCCCCATCTTCAACCTTGTATTTTTTTCCTTTTCTTTGGTTTTTGTTGATGGTTTCTGTGTAGCCCAAGCGGTCGCAGAACTCAGAGATCCACCACCTCTGCCTCCGTAGTGCTGGGATTAAAGACGAGAGCCAGCACGGCCAGCACAACTTTATATCGTTTACTTTTCCCCAGTGAATGCAATCTACAGAACATACAGCCTTTTGCATCTGGCTTCTTTCAACTGGAATAAACCCTTGTGTTTATCAGTGCTTAAATATTTTATCATGATGGGTAGTGTCCCAGTGTGTGGACAAAAAAAACCTCATTTGTTTGTCCCCTGGCCAGATGATGAATATTTGGACTTTTTTCCCTTTGGTGATTAGGAATAAAGATGCAATAAATACAGTTGGATCCAGATCTCTATACGGAAACTGTCTACTGCTATATTGTCTTTCGTGGTGGGTGTATCATTTCGCTCGTTGTCAGAACTGTATGGGATCCCTTTGCATCTTAAATAGTTTCATTTTATTAATGAGATAGTGAAACTGTGGTCAGCAATTATTTATATTTTGAACCCACAAAATAGTGACAGTAATGCTAAGAAACAAACCCAGTACGGGTGGTGTTTCCAACTGCCATCACATAAACTGTGCAGCAGCTACAAGAAAGGTATGAGGCATTCCGTTTTGTAGAGAAATACCCAGAATAGGCAGGCAGTCGGGACGGGTAGGTTTGGTGCCGTAAGTTACTTGCTGTATGGTTTTTTGCAAAGACTGTAGGTTTACTACTGAGCAGTAAAATGGTGTGATGCCACTGATGCTCATTGTACAGGGTTAGTGTCACAAGCCATTAGGCTGGCACTGACGCCACGCTAGCACGCTGAGGACTTCAGTAGTGAACTCTGTCTCACTTGTGTTCCCCGTCCCGAAGCGCAGCATTCGCTCCGGGAGTCGACATCAGGCTCCACAGCGTCTCAGTTCCGCCCACCACCGTCCGCCCGCCCCGACAGTCCAACCACGCTAACCCCCCACGGCCTCCGTCGCCAGCGCCCGAGGCGACCTCCTTACCATGATGACAGCCGCGGAGCAGCCGTCCGCGACCTCCCGGGGGCCAAAAAACTTCTGGGTCTCGCTGGTCCACGAGCCCACTGGGCGTAAGGCGGAACAGGAAAGGGCAACCCTTTAACGACGCCGGGGGAAGCTCGAGCGCCACACAGTCGTTCCCAGGCGGGCGGCTCTCCGCCCCTAGGCAGGAGAGCGGAAGTTGCTCGCAGGCCATATTTAGCTGACGCACCACCGGAAGTGGAGGAGGGTGCTGCTTGTGGCTCCGCCGCCCGGAATGTCTGTAGGTTCATTCCGCAGGTATGAGGGTGGTTTAAGCGGTGGGGCGTTGTAAGGTGAGGCCGCTGGCAGTTGAGGAGTGGCGGGCGCCCCTTGCTCCCCGCAGTCTGGCGGAGAGGAGCTAGTCGTTGGTGCACGACCAGGTGCCCTGTGGGTGCTACGCTGTGCAGCGGCGACCCGGTCTTTTGCGGGGCGCTGCTGACCTCGTAGCTGCGGCTGAGAGCTGGCCACAGAAGCCCCAGCCTGCAGAATTAGGGACGTTTTTCTTCATCCTTCATCAAGGGCGACTGATCCTTCTGTGTCTGTCCCGTCGCTAATGTGTGCACCATTCATGGACATTTATTACGTGGAAAGTAAAACTGCTGGGCCAACTGCCAGGAGAGCAAGAGATAATTTTGGTTTTGTGGAGGCTCAGGACTGAATTCCCTAAATTCTTGAGTCCCCTTTTTTTTAAATCCGGGAATTAGGACCTGAGCGGACTTGGACAAACTGACCCTCGAGTGCCGAGAAGGAATTCCCAACTTGGGGCAGTTAGTTCTTTCTATGCTGTGAGTCCCAGAGGTCTAACTCAGGTTGTCAGGCTTGGTGGCAAGTGCCTTTACCTGTTGAGCTATCTTGGTGGCCCCAATCATGTAATATCAAAATCATTAATATCACCATTGTTCTCCTCACACAAAGTCTTAAGTCTTGACAGACTGTCAAGCCCATATTAGTAGATGATAATTTTCCAGAATTCTCATTGTCACTTAAAGGCTTGAACTTGTGGCAGTATATAAATGGTAGTTGCTTTCTTTGAAATGAATTATGTCAGTTGGTTATTGATAAATTTCTAAGTATCTTAAGTCTGACTATCCTAGTTTGTCTAAGAGCAATTTCTCCAAGTAAACCGTGCTCCATTAAAAAAAAAAGTGGCTGATTAGCTTCCAACATAGTCAACATCCTTTGATTTCACTGTCTGTTAAAAATAAGGTATAATTAAGGGTTAAGATTTAATGGAGGGGGTCTGGAGAGATGGCTCAGAGGTGAAGACTGGCTGCCCCTCCAGAGGTCCTGCACTCAAAGCCCAGCTACCACATGGTGGCTCACAGCCATCTGTAGTGAGATTTGGTGCCCTCTTCTGACCTTCAGGGACACATGCAGGCAGAACACTGCATAATAAACAAATCTTTTAAAAATGATTTAATGGAAGAATTTTTACTGTATCAAGCATATTCTTTTAAAAAACATAATTTTTATTTGAGACATTTATACATGCATACAATTTTTTTTTTTGAGACAGGGTTTCTCTGTGTACCCGTGGCTGTCCTGGTACTCATTCTGTAGACCAGGATGGCCTCAAAGTCACAGAGATCCACCTGCCTCTGCCTCCCCAAGTGCTGGGATTAAAGGTGTGCGCCACCACCGCCGCCCGGCCATACAGTGTAATTTGATCATACCCACTCTCAACTCCTCCCAGATCCATCTTTCACGCTAACAATCATATTCATCTTTTTAGTTTGAAAAAGATTTCTCTGTATTGTTTTTAATAATGATGTGTTTGTATGGGAATGTGCACATGAGTGCTGGTGCTTGTGGAGATGACGGAGGTCAAAGATGTCAGAATTTCTGAAGCTAGAGTCACCGACATTTGTGAGCTGCCAACGCGGGTGCTGTACTTCAAACTGAACTTAGGTCCTCTGCAAGAACAGCACACATTCTTAACCACTGAGCAATCTTCAGCCCAGCATGCATATTCTTGATTGAAATTATTAAACTAGTTGTTTGATCATTAATAATATAGCAACTGATAATATATTCTATTTTTTTCTTCCCAGCAAGCGTGTTTGAGACAAGGCCTCTTTATAGTCCTGGCTGTCCTGGAACTCACTATGTAGACCAGGCTAGCCTTGGACTCCCAGAGATCCAGCTGCCTCTGCTGGGATTAAAGGTGTGCACCACCACCACCACCACCACCACCACCACCACCACCACCACCACCACCACCTCTGGCTGACTAATACTTTATTCTGCTGCCAGTGTCTGTATATATGCCAAGGTGGCCCCTGCTTTGCCTACCACCCAACCAATATAAATGTGAATACTGAAAAAGATAGTTAGTGTCTTAGTATTATTATGAAAGTAATTTTGACCTTTGAAAGAAGGTCTTAACAGACTTAGAGTCTGTAGATCACTGTTTGAGAATCAGTGAGTTACAAGGAGGGTTTCAGCCTACTTAACATTTTGTTCTTTGTCAGAGGTGGATGCGCTGTGGATTCTAGAATATTTAGCAGTATTGAATTGGGCGGCAGTGGCACACGCCTTTAATCCCAGGACTAGGGAGGCAGAGGCAGGTGGATCTCTGTGAGTTTGAGGCCAGCCTGGTCTACAAGATGGAGATGCAGGACAGGCACAAAACTACACAGGGAAACCCTGTCTCGAAAAACAAACAAACAAAAAAAAATAAATAAAAGAATATTTAGCAGTATCAGTCTGCTAGCTGTCACTTGTGCCTCTCTGACAGTCATTGCCTGTGTCTCTTGAGCAAGGATAGTGGGTCAGCTTTTCTCTGTTGACAGCACTGGGTCAGTGACTGAAGACAAGTGTCTCGTACTTTAGCAACTAGAGAGGTAAGATGAGGCTTGGACTCTGATGTTTGGAACAGATTCAAGACATCCATAGGCAATAAGGTAAAAGGAATTGGTGACTTCTGAGATTACATACAGGCTTAGGAAGACATTTCAGCAGGACTTCCTGCATAGCTGACTTATCACCGTCTCCCCATGTCCTAGGGGGTTAGACACTTCAGTCTTCTTGTCACACTTTGATATTGTACTTCGGGCCCAGTGAAGACTTGGTAAATGTGGCTTTAGGGGCTTATTGCAGTGCTGAAGTCAAACCCAGGACCTCGGGCACACTGAGCAAATGCTCCTCCTGGGAGCGACACCTCGGGGTTAGTGAATACAAAGCAGAGCTTCTCTGTTTCTCTAATCACAGGAAGACAGCTCGCTTTGGTGTATCTCTATGTGTTCTATTTTCACATATTTATGGGTAAAAAAGAAATCAGAATGTGTAGATAGGCTTTTGTTGTCAATGAGAAACTACCAAATTTACATGAGAATATTTAAAATACTTAATTTTATATCTTTAAAATAGATTTTTATTTTTTTTTAATTTTTAAAAATTTAAAGTTGTGCTTCAATTATATCTTGACATTTTGTTGGTTTGTTTGTTTTTCTTTGAGATAGGGTCTTGCTATGTAGGCCAGGTGGCTTCAAACTTGGCAAGCCTCCTTCCTCTGCTTCTCCAGGGTTGGGTTACAGGTATCGACCAAACTCTCAGCCTTCCCTAGTGCTAAGAATTAAGGTGCCTTTTTTTTTTTTTTTTTTTTTTTAAAGGGGGACAGTTGAAGCTTAAGAACTGTTTATTTTATTTTTTTTTCCCCCGCTTATAAAGTTTATTAGAGATAAAGGGACAGAAAGTGCGCAGGCCTGTGGGAGAGACACGTGCGTGGAGAAGAGGAGAGAAGAGAGAAGAGAGCAAGAACTGTTTATTTCATACAAAGTTTGACTTTTTGAATGGTGCATTGAGTTTTTGGTAGCTAAAATTATTCCTATTTTCTAAAACATACAATCCTAGTTCTTATATACGCCTTACTGACTTGTAATGTATATGTTTAGTTTTATAATTTTGTTTGTTTCTTTTTTCAGGAATAACATTTTTTTTTTTTTCCAGAGCTGAGGACCGAACCCAAGGCCTTGCGCTTCCTAAGCAAGCTCTCTACCACTGAACTAAATCCCCAACCCCCAAGAATAACATTTTAGAGGGCCACAATGTTTACCCACTGGAGGATTTTTGCAGTGAGTCATCAGAAAGTATTCAGTGTAAGTGTTTTTTTTTTTTTTTTTTTTTTTTTTTTTTTTTACAAAAATTGCTGTGCTTTATTAGCCTAATTATTTTTTTCTCAGAGGCTTAGTATAGCTTATCATTCCAAATTTAGTTTGGTCAAACTACCTTAATTTAATTGGAAATGCAATTTAAAAATTTCCTTAGCAATGAAAAGAGCATCAGACAAAATTAAATGCTGTTCTCATTTAATAAAATGTAATAAATGTCAATTGTTTTGGAGGAGGCTGGTGTTTTCTGTCTCTTCCAAGAATAGCAGTAGTTAATGCTTACCTTTATACTGCTAACTAAGAGTGTGCTGTATATGTATTTTTAAGTATCCTTAAGTTGAAACATCTGTGAAGTAAAGGTCTGCAACAGTATGTCAAGCTATAACATCGTTAAATAGTTAAGGTGAAACTTTGTGCAGAGCTCTTGGAAGTCAGTTTCTCTGAGGCAGTTTGACATTTGCCGCATGTTTCATGAGCAGCATCTTCCCTGTAAGCTTTATTCTCAGGCTAGAGCTCCATATATTATTTTGTAAACTCCCATTTTCAGTGTGTAGTGCAAATATGAATCCTCAAGCGGAACCATGCCCTCTGTCTCTCACCTGCTGGGACTGTGTTTGGGCTGTTTCTCCAGCAGTGACCCAGCAGGGAGCTTTGGAGAGCCTGTAACCCAGATGACCCATGCCTTGTCATTTGTGGGAGACCAGCCCCCACATTTATTTACCCCAGGGACTCTTGAGGAGAGAGGGATAAGAGATTTAGATACAAATATAGAGAGGAGAGAAACAGAAACACAGGATAGCCCCGGGTGGGCCTGGATTCTTATTCACTGGCCCAGAACTTTACTCAAAAGGGCTTTTTATAACAGTGCTGGGGGAGGGGCAAAAGCCCTCCCCCTTGCTAGGTACAGTCAAGTGTAGATTCTTCCAAACACCCTGTACTCAGGCCCGTGGTCCAGTCAACCTCCCATGCAGTCCTGCTGGGTACAGCCACTGGGAAACCTC